AAAATAATGATACAGTACCCAAGGAGAGAAACTTATAGACCAATTACATGTTACAGTACCAATACATCTATCTACCATTAGTCTTAAATGTGTGCTACACATTGTAGATGTCCCCGAGAAATAATGAAAGCTCTGAAAAAGAAATTTCCAGGAAAATGGTTTGAGATGATTGTATCATCACTGAAAGAATCCAAATATACATTAAACACTACATAACTGTCTTTTTAAAAAAGCAATGCTACTATTTGGACTTTACAGGGACATGACTTAAGCATAACAAAGCAATCCCAAGTTTGAATGTTACCTCTTATGCATGATCTTCTTCTATAGAATTTTATTTTTCTTTTGATCCACCAATATCAGAGAAGCATGACAACTTAATATTTGTTGCTAGGGGGCAGCATCAGCAAAAACCTCTACTCTATTAAAGAACATTGGTTTTTGGGGATGACAGTTACAAGAATCCCCTGACTAGAATGGTCACTGGCTTTGCTGGCTAAGGGATTATAGGACTTGTAGTCCAAAAAAACCTATCTTCTTCAGCCTCTGTTTATGAGCTTTCTGGAAGCATGTGGCTGGCCACAGTTGGAATGAGGATCCTGGAATAGTAAATCTTAAAGTCTGATTATCAATCCATGAAGACTCTTCTGATATGCTTACCTATGTTTTTTCATGTAAGTACTATATTAATACTGGGGCAGGCAAGCTCTGAGGAACTTGAACCAAGACTCTTCCTGGACCGAATCAGCCTTCCAAATCTGAATATTGCTTCCAGCTTTAAAAAAAAAAAAAAAGCTTCTTCTAGTTTCCTCTGCACTGTAATGGGATGTGGCATCTAGGGGTGAGATCTTGTCCTCGTTGTTGTGTGTCTTCACATCATTTCTGATTTATGGCAACCCAAAGGCAAACCTATCACAGGATTTTCTTGGCAAGATTTGTTCAGAGGGGGTTTCCTCTGAGAATGTGTCTTGCCCAACGTCACCCAGTGGGTTTCCATGGTTGAGCAAGAATTTGAACCCTGGTCTCCAGAGTCCTAGGCTAAAGCTTAAACCACAATACCGCACTGACTCTCTGGGATCTTCTGTACTTTCTTTTAAAAAACCATCTATATATTGATAGTAGTATTGTTGTTTATTGTTATTTGCCATCAGCTTAAACTTATGGTAACCCTATGAATGAGAGACCTCTAGGAATCTCAGATATCAGCGGCCTTGCACAAGTCTTGCAAAATCAGGACCATGAACCTCCTTGACTGAATCAATCCACCGATAATGCAATCTTCCTCTGTTCCTAGAGACTCCACTTTACATCATTATTGTTTTTTCCAATGAGTCATGTCATCTCATGATACATCCAAACTACAACAACCTCAATTGGCTTGTAGTGAGAGTTCAGGTTTGATTTGCTCTAGGACACATTCATTTGCCTTTTAGCAGGCAATGATGGCTGCCTGTAGAAGGAGAACAAAAGAGTTACAACAGCATGCAGAGAGGCAAGGAGAAAGACACTTCTCTCTTGCTGCCTCTCAGCTTTCTTTTGTCATGCAATAAGGCTCCCTGTATCTTGTCCAGAGGGCCAGCCTCATGGATTGGCATCATCATGCACCTTCTAACACCAGAGCATACCACCTAACAGATAATCCTCAGTGATGGGGGCTTCCTAGATCAATGCAAACTTGCTGAAAATTAACCTATTTTCCCTAGTCCAAGTGAAATTATGTGTAATGGAATGCAAATCCTTTTCCTCAGGTTCTATGATTTTTTTTAATAAAAATAATATTACTATTTTAATTTTAAGACTCTCTCTCTTCCCCCCCCCCCCCAGCAAAATAATAATAATCCTGGAAGTAAATATATTTAGTGCTAGATACATTTAAATTATATTTATTGAATTGTGGTTACTTCTGAAAAAATATTGTTGTAGGTAAAAGATATATTTGTTACTATATTTTGTTGCATTTCTTTGTTAATTTTACTACATAAACATTTTTTGAGAGTGGCTTGGAATTTGGTGACAAGAAAGAAAGTTGGGATGTTCTTGCTCTTCCTGCTGAGGGAGGCTCACCTGGCCTCAATATTGGGCCTTTACAGACTGCCAGAAATAATGCATCTTGAGTCTACTTTAACTGCCCTGGCTCAATGCTAGGGAATCATGGGAATTGTAGTTTATTGCGGCACCAGACCTCTCTGACAGAGAAGGCTCATTGTCTCAGAAAAACCTACAATTCCCATGATTCCCTAGCACTGAGCCAGGGCAGTTAAAGGGGACTCAAGCTGCATTATTTCTGGCAGTCTGTAAAGGACCATTATCACTTTTTCAAAATCAGGTTAAGACAGTCCAGTACTCTCAGACATTTAATAGGATCATAGATTACCTTAAAATATTGTCCTAATACCAAGGAACTGGAGGATTTGGGCAGGCAGGGTGGATTATGATATATATTGGGATACTTGTTTTTGTTTCTAACTTTTATATATTTTAATAGACACAAAAAGTTTTTCTTTTAAAAAAAAGGTGTTTAACAAATGTAAATTATTATAGCTTAATTTAATAAAACAGGTTATTCAAGCAATTGCCATTCTGCAACTGTTATAGAAACATCAAGCGCTGACAAGTGTTGTTAAGCTAGGTGGTTTTTCAGTATACTGACTGAACATTTGCACACTAGCTAAGAAGGTATGAGTTTCAGACTTTCACTTAGACATAAAGTTCCTCTAGTTTTGCCTTCCTCAAACTGTCACCCCCAGATAGAGGCATTAATCTTTTGTTGTTAACTGCCTGCATGTCGACCCCAACTCTTGGGACCCTGTGGATAAAACACCTCCAAGCCCCCCTGTTCTCCACCACTCTACTCAGGTCCTACAATTTCAGCCCCATGGTCTCCCTATTTATGTCTATCCACCTAGCATACAGTCTTTCTCTCTTTCTTCTGCCTCTTCCTTGCCTAGCATTATTGTCTTTTCTAGTGAGTCATGCCATCTCATGATGTGGCCAAAGTATGACAGCCTCAGTTTCATCATCTTGGCTTCCAGGGAGAGTTCAGGCTTGATCTGTTCAATGACCCATTGGTTTGTCTTTTTGGTTGTCTACAATATCCTCACCACTCTTCTCCAACACCGCATCTCAAATGAGTTGATTTTCTTCTTATCTGCTTTCTTCACTGTCCAGCTTTCACATCTATACATCAGGATGAGGAGTACAATGGCCTGGACAGTTTTAACTTTAATGCTCAGTTGCATAACTTCACTTCTTAGGATCTTTTCTAGTTCTTTCATAGCGGTCCTCCCCATACCTAATCTTCTTTTGATTTCTTGCAGTCTCCATTCTGATTAATGTTTGATCCAAGGTATGGAAACACTTTTACTATTGCGTTTTCCTTATTGTCTAGGCTAAATTCATGTAGATTTATGTGAATAGCAAATCGTATTTTTTGCATAGATTCCAGTTACAATTGTAGCCACTTTATGATGCTTTTTCTTATATTTGCTATGTGCAGTCTTGCTGCACAGTTAGGTAACACGGTCAACAGTTTAATATTTTTCTTTACATAGATGACATGTATTATGTAGTTATTTTTTCAATATTTGCATTGATGCTAGTATTATTTGAAGTTCTTAAGCCACAAATATATCTTTCATTGAGTTGTTTCTGCCATCACGATCTCTTCCACATTCTCTTTTAACTCCACCTCTCTGCCCTATGATGCCCTCTTTTTACTCCACCTCTTTTCCTCCCAGCATGCCTTTTGGGATGTTTTATTTTTATAATTAAAGCAATTCCAGAGTTATGTTAATGTGATTTAAGTAAAAAAAAAAAAAAGAAATAGAAAAAATTAAAAAGGAAATCACCCTGCTTGGGAAAAGTGAGGTGGAAACAGTGACACTGCATGACTGCCAATATTGGAACTGCCACAGCAACAATTTTTCACACCTGAGGACTAATGGGACCACAAAGGGTTTGAGAGTTTATTGATGGGTTTCCCCTGTCAATGAAAAGGGACTCCCTTACCACACCTGGGAGACCCAGCAGCTACCTGTCAGAGGCAATGTTGTGCAAAAAGTATCTCCAAAAGCACTACAGTCAGCTCTCCATGTTTGCTGGTTTCAGATTTGTGGTTTTGACTATTTGTGAGTTTGTAGCTGCTGCTTAACAAGGTCAACCTTTTCAGCCCCCCTCCTCCTCACCCTTCCTCCCAGCCAGCCAAAACCAATACTGTACCTTCCCCTGCTTTGCCAAACTTTGCATCCTCCTCATTTCCAAAGACTTTCCCTTTGAGTCTGATGTTTGCAGCAACCCCCAGGAGGATCCAACTTCTCTCCTTCTCCTTCTCCACTTCTATCCCAGCCAGATAAAAGCAACATCGTACCTTCCCTTTGTGATGATGGCTGCAAACATTGGATTCAGAGTGGAAAGACACTGGAAATGAGGAGAATGCAAAGTCTGACAAAGTGGGAAGGAATCCATGTTGCGTTTGTCTGGCTTGAAGGGAGGAGAGGAGGTAGAGGAGAGAAGGTGGATTTTTTTCATTCATGGCTGCTAACATAAGATTGAAAGTGGAAGCACTTTGGAAATGTGGGGCAGGCTATGTGTTTCAAGGTTGCAAAAGAATTACAGATGGTGCTCTTGGTGGGAGGGGACCCATTCATGTTTCAAGGGGCCTAACATACTTGCAGTTTTTAACATTTCGTGAGGGTCCTTGGCTCCTCACCCCCACAAATGTGGAGGGGTGAGTGTATTTTCCAACTTTAATTGCAGTTTAAATGCTGTATATGATTACCATATTTTTCGGCATATAAGACACATTTTTTCTTCCCCAAA